AAGGTTAGGAAGCAGAGGCAGAAACACTACTATGACCGTCACTCACACGAACTGCCAAAATTGCGTGAAGGTGATGCCATTAGAATGCGATTGCCAAACGAAGAGTGGTTATTGGGACGCGTCATTGGAGAGGAGGGGACCCGTTCCTATTTGGTTGAGGTGAACGGAAAACATTATCGTCGGAACCGTAAATGGCTCAGGGCAACATCCGAGGAGTTACCGGAGTCGGTGGAAACAAACCTCGACATGGCCGAACCTATTGAACTGGTTGAGTCCAGCTCAGCTGAGCCCCCACCAGCAATGATACCATCATCATCAGTGGTTTCTGGGCCACACACTGAAGGTCGTCCAGTGCGGGACTGCCGCCCCCCAGTGTGTCTAAAGGATTACGAGTGCTGAATTAAGACACTGACTCTGCCTTGTGCCTTTTTTTATTTTGTATTTTGTTTATTATGTACAGTTGTGCAGGGGCGTTTAATGCACTAGACTGTCTCAGGCAGATTTGAACTTTGTGTTATTTCTTTCTTTCTTTCTTTCATTATCAACAATGTTGTCTACATTTATAGTTGCTCGACTATTAGACTTAGGGAGATGTAACGAGTATGGTTACATGAAGTAGTCTTGTTTCCCGCCTTTGAGGGTCGCGTGACTGAGTTTTGGGTCCAGCGACCTCGCAGCGTTGTTGTTCACAGTTTAATAAAATAATTGCAGTTTTGCGGACACTGTCTATCCGCCTGTCGTTACAGCCATCTGCCAATTTGCACTATTGAAAGTGAAATTTTGCAGCAAGGGAGCTGGCAAGAAGCAACAGAAAAGCCAAACAAAGGTTTATGAAGCAAGCCTCAGAAATTAAATTGGCCACCCTTCCAATGAGCTGAACTAAGAGCTCGCTCTGATACCCTTTCCCAAGTGTTGAGTGTAAGGCCACTTCAGTCATAGCGCCTGTGAATAGAAAAGATGCCTTGGCCAGTTTGTTTTCTAATTGTTGTGTGAAAAAAACTTGCGTGTTTTTATAAGCCACAATTCATTTTAGGACTAAAACACTTCAGGCAAAAGTGTTAAATTCGACTTGCCCAACTGTTTCAGTTTGTGAACTATTGCAGATTGTGAACTTTGATGGTTTGTGAACCCTGGTGGTTTGACATTTTTGACAGCTTTGGTCTTGGTCAACTTATAAGACTACTTGAACCATTCTAACAAGGATTCTGATTGGCTTATTGTAGCCTGCTTTTTCAGAGTATAGAGGAAGCTGACAATACTGTTTTTTGCTTTGGAAATAAAGTTTGTTTTGAAAACTGATAGTAATGCATGGGGAATTTCACAGATTCTTTGTTGTAAAACAAATGGAGAGGCCTTGACTGTGCTCAAAAAGAGGGGAGAAACACTTGACTACATCTGATGTTTCTTCCTACACTTCTTTTATGCTCTGGCTGCTACCTGCATGCTTTACAACAGAAGAGTGCACACCCAAGGCTTCTCTATTTGCTAAATTCAAAGATACAACACGCACCCAAAGGTCACTGCCTCAACTATTGAGTATGCCCATGTTTTCCTTGCAATTTGTAAAATAAATTTACTTAGACTCGCGCCTGGCATGGGCTTGGATGGTGCAAATATTTTTTAAAAAGAGTAATCATTGCATTCTAATTGATTTTAACCAAATGGTTTCAACTAATAACAATATGTGCTGCAATATATAACCACAGGGGTCAAATGTCTACGCATGTCCACTCAATCAAAGCCCTGTGGCTAATTTATAATTGTAAACTAGACTTTTTATCAAAAACCAGAGCATGACTTAGTCTCTCTCAGTTTCTAAAGAAAATTCAAATTTCCTATGGCTAAAACTTACAGAGGTTGTTGTCTATAGTTTCCCTACAGCATGTTAGTTTACACTTTCATACTTTTTCTTCCTCTTTTTTCAGCAGGATGAAGTCACCTGTAAGTTTGACTTTGTTTGCTATAGCTTTGTTATGTCATGTTGGAGTTGACAAGAAACACTGAAAAAAATGTGCAAAATCAGGAAAAACTAGAGCCTCAAAATACATATGCCACAATGGAAGATCAATGTTTAATGTAGACAGTTGACTGGCAAGAGCTGCACGGGTGGAAAAAGGTGCAACAATTTGCCTTCAGCACCAAAATGAAGGTAATAAAGCTGACAATCAAATTCCCCTTTGTGACACCCCAATTAACTCATATGATGGATGACAGAGACAATGTGAGGGTGGATAATTGTGTGTGTGACAGGAGCTTTTCTGCAGTAAAAGAGCTGGATCGTTTCCAGGGTAAATGTTGCTGATGGAAGGTGAATACATGAAACACTTCTATTTTTTTTGACAAGCACTGACTGCATTTGTATCTAAGGGAATAAGTGCCTTAGAATTCTCCTCAGTAGCATAATTGACATCTCGCATATTTTCCTCTCAAGAAAAAGCATTTGAAAAACTTATACTACAGTTTCAGTCAGCCCTCTATGAGTATTATGAAGAGGACTAAGGTCCCCCCTTGTACAACCCCACGCTGATTAGAAACTTCATTGCCCAGCATGCTGATGAATTATTTGACATCCTCCTGAATTCTGTCATCAAATTAAAGATGGGACTTCCAAGGAAAGAATTCATTTGCAAGAGTAAAGAACATTAGCACTAGACCTTTTTAACTTGTAGATTTTTTTTTGTCCCATTTTGGACCACATGATGTTACCTTGGTCAGTCACTGCTTTCAAACTGTCGATTATTTGCATTTTTTGGAACAGCTTGAAAAGGAAAAATGTTTTTCAGGAAACATTGAATTAATAGGTAGAGATAATGATACAAATTTTACACTTCAATTGTTTAGAACATCAGTCTGTAAAAGTTGTCAGAATCTCAGAATTTTCAGACAAAGTATCTTTAATATGAGTAGGTCACAAAAATCCTCTACATTTCACAAAGACATGTAGAAGACAACCCTAGAGTAGGTCTGCCTACTGCACATCTTAGAGGAGGTACTTCCATTAGTCTTTTTCCAGTCTGGTGTGATATTAAATTCTACAAAAGCTTGGGGATTATGAGTCCCTTATATTTCGATTTCTTACACTATTCATCATCAGGAACCGTCATCACTATGACAGACCTAAACTAGCTTCCAATGTTAAATGATTTCTGTCACCAAAGAAACTACTTCCCTGACTACCACAACTTTAAAACGAAATGACTGGCTCAATCAACTGGTAAAAAAGGTTGAAACTTGGCACTCACTTCTTTGGTTTCAAATAACAGATTACTCTAAGGCAGAACAGTATCGAGAAAGAGCTATTGGCCTTGCGTCTTAGTCAACCGCAACATCCTTCAAAAGTCTGTTATGTTGTTTAGAAAACCTTATCCATGCGCAGTATCTGACCCCTGTGTTCAATATTTATAACATATATTAAGAGAAATGAGAGAAGCAAGGAAGGGCGAGTATGTTTTATGAAAGCCAGGTTGGTATAGCAGGTCCACATCAGCTGATAGCTGCCGATGCAACTATTACTTTGTAATTTTTGTAATTTTTTACCTGCTACATCAAATAAAGAATTGATTGATTGATTGATTGAAATAAAAACAAAACCATCGTACCTCAAGCATTTTTCTTAATAGTAGGGCTCCCACGTGCGCTTCACAGGCATGGGGTAGAGCCCCATACCCCTAGAATATGGTCAACCTCTTTCCATTTGGTTGCCACGTACGTACGTGCCCTCAGATTGCACGGGTAGGGTAGGGGAGACTATCAAAACGAAGGGAGGGGTGACTCAGGCGAGTCTTGGCAAATGCACATTTTTATGTTATCATTAATATTACGAACTTGGGAGCTCCGCTTTTAGGCTTGGCTAAATCTATATATTACAATCGTTCCCCCAAGAATACTAGAGCAATGAGAGACATTGGAGGAGTGTTAAACTTCTCATACGCCATAACTATACATCGGACTATACGTGCATGTTCCCTGCATTTTGCCTTCGAAAACAAGCTCGTTACATTGTTCAGTTTACAAATGGTTACATCATATAACTTACCTTTAGGTACGTAGTTAATCTCCTCTCCCAAGTAACGAATACGCAGCTGCAGAATTTGCGAGTAAAGTCAAACTGAAAACGAAAGCAACAACACTGTTGATTTATGGGGGCTTCTGAGGCCTTCCGGTTAATGGCCACTCGAGCCCAGGTTGTTTAGTCTTTCTGAGGGGGCCAGGGACCTGGACCTAAATCTCGTGTCTTAGGATTCCCACTACTCGTTTTCCCGTGCACTTTCTTTTCTTTTACTCAACCATTAAATTTTCTTACTATTCTAACAAAGCCCTTGACGGGATTAACAACTTAAAAGCCGGAGACTTTTAACTGCTTTGCCGGAGACACGGCAAAGCAGCTTATGCCAAGAGGGATTTCATACAAAGGATTTCTGAGGCAACTGTACTCCATCCAAGACGTTGATACACCACTAGGAAAAGAAATATCCTGAACAGCTTTGGAGGTCATCTGCAGGCAAGAATGTAGAAGTTTTGGGCATTCGGAAAGAATGTAGGTATTCCTTTCAAGAACAGCGCACATTTCTTGAAGAATTTGTTTCTTGCAATAAACAATCTCGTTTGCGGCCCCTCTTTTAAAATCCTCAATAAGGGGGTAAATCCCATTTCGTCTGCATTGAATTCTTGCTCGAATAAATTTAAAAGTAGTCAAGCAACTGTAAATTGTTTCTTGTGAAACCTTGTCAGAGATACTAAACAAACAGCGGACCCCTACACGCAAAATGTAGTCTAGTACCTGGGTGTCAATGGAAATACTTCCATCTGATTGTTCATCCAAAAATTTAGAGAGACAAGAAACGATAAGGTCTCTGAAATATTCACCTGCTTTGATCCTGTCCACGTACAGTTGTCGAGAGGCTTTTTCCTTGTTGGTCAACCACGCTGGGATCAAACTGTGAAGAAAGGTGAACGTCTGATCAGGCTTACGAAACACTAGAAATGTTGAGAGGGCATCAATAACCTCCTGTTCGTCGAGACTGGACATTACTCTTTGAAGAATGAACGAAATAAACTAGATAGGAAGCGGAGAAGGAGTAACTATGGCACACCCAAATAATTTATGGTACAAGTCCGCTCCTATTTTGGTAAAAACCCTCCGGAAATTCTGCAAGAAAAAACTATCGATGTCTCCGGGGAAAACATCATCAACGTGACTAATCGTACCTGAAAAAACTGGATTGTTGAGAACTTTCTCAATATAGAAGGCGTACAAAAACAATCCATTGCATTTCTTTGCTACGTCATCCACCGTGTACGGCAGACAAGAGAAATCGACGGTTTTCTCTAAATATAGCTTTATATCCTGTTCGTGCTGTTGATAAAACTTAACATCTTCGCTGTTCCCCGCACAAATTTTAAAGCAGGGATTGTACTTTTTCAATCTGAACTGAACATAATCCTCAGGACGACTAGTAATAAAGAACTGAAGCCATTTTGGAAGCATTGGAAAACGGTGCATTATAAGATTGAGAAAATCTTCCCTGGACTCATATTCAGTCTCATCTATAGCGTCAATGACTACTAACTTTCTTGGACAAGGTGGGGTACATTTGGCCAGTGGTTCTTGAAATATTTTGGTAAACAATTCCTCAACACTTAACGCAGAAATACCCAAAATCTTTGTAATTCCACTCCAGTCTCTCCAAGCAGAATATACGCTCTAGAGTGTCCAGGCTCCATGAGCCATTTGTTAAAATCCTCGAAAAACCACTTTCTTGTATCTGGATCATAACGTTCGGCAAAGAAAGAGATTTCCGCGTCACAACTAGCAATCTCTGAAATATCAAAGAGAGAAAAAAAAAACCCTTCAGTTAGTGTTACACGAGACAACCTGCAACTAAGGTTTATTGCGCTACTAAGTCATGCGAAAAATCGTGCACTATGACACTATTATTTCCTCAACTATTGACTTGGTATTGGAAACGTTGTGAGTTTTCGCAATGCAACATGACAAATATTTACAAGAATGGCTGCCATAGGTCCACGGATTTCCAGTACCACGAATCTTTTTCTAGGACATTAAACTCCTTCAGTGAAAGTACCGTTACAAAATTCCAGGATTTTCTAAGTCCCTTGCAAACCATTTATTTTATTTTCGTGAAAAGGGACCTCACATTTGTTAAGAATATAAAAGCAACCGTCTGATTGCAGGTTTACTTCAAGATATGAACAAGCATTGTGGAACACTTATGACCTCGCGTAATAAGAAAAGGAAGGAGAGACTGTGTTCCGGTACGAACAAGGGTGCAAATAAACTCTATGTAAAACTGTCAATCATCGAATTCCATAAATCTACGGTAACCTTTTTTCGACAGAGGTTTGGCCTGGTCGGAAACGCTACTGGCCATCAGTAAATTCAACTGAAATCACCTCGCGTTTAAACTGTCCAAGTGCAAAAGCTTCTAACAAGTAGAAATAGAACTCCTTTTGATTTGTAGCTTCACATATGCGTGGCCTGGCAATACAAAACATCAAGCTAGAATTCACTTAATTATTGAGAATCCTTCCTTTATGTTATTAATGCAAAGTTTTAATCTCTTATCCAGAATCAAGATAGCTCTCATTATCAGGATAGATATGAGGTTTAGTCGAGGTCTGGTGTCCTTCAAAATGAGTTTTTAGTTTATCTATCTGGTGTTGTGCGGAAGTCACTTTGGCACATAGAGAATCTTGTTTCTGTTCAACCTTCGAAACGCGTTTATTAAGCTCTTTCAGATCGCCCACAGCATTCTGAAGCACAGTCTTCAATTGCTTTCTTCCTTCCTCTTCTTCAAATGCCAGATTATCAACATCGTTCTTGAGAGCGATAAGACCTTGTTGAACGGCCTTTGCCAGATCAGGCTCGATAATAGCGCTCATACACCGTATAGCTCCTGCAAGAAAAGAACCAATACTCAAAACTAACCTACCACCACCTGACTAATACTTCATCTCTCCTGTAGATTGAATATTCATTAAATTTTTGGTGGCATCTTCTCGCCTTTACCAGTGTAAAATGTTATTTCCTCATGATGTAACTCAAGATCTAACTATTTTAGTACTCGTTGAGCATGCTATAGATTTGAGTTATGCTGAAAGGCCTCACTTTCAATCTCCAAGTTTGTCACAATATTCAACAAGTATCAATAAATGGCATATTGATCCGGCTCAACTTTTCGCATTCAGTGTCACACAAAGGTTCTTTTAATTATTTAATCATTTTAATTATTTTTAGGGAACATTTTGTTATCGGTAGCGCTTTTCCGAATCTAGGCGGAAAAGCTCGTGACTTATCGGCATTGGGAGAGTAGACAGCGTAAATTTGCGCAAGTAAGATCAAGTCCCACGGGTGTAAGCAAGAAAATGTAACAATCGTTGTAAATTGATTACTGTTGAAACTTCGAAATGGAGCATATCCATGTCTTGCCTTCCTATTTTCGTCCCGCATCTCGCCTTTAAAATATTTGAGATACTAGGTCTATAAACATACTGAGGAACAACCGTTTTTTTAGCCCGGTAGATATGCTTTAAGCAAGTCTTTGCCTTTCTCCATAATAAGATTACATTATCAATATTAGATATGATGAATATATGAAGTTCATATATTCATATGTATCTGATTTACGCATCATACGTATCTATAACCGCAGTTTAAAATATATGAACTTCATATATTCATCATATCTGATTTATCATCACGGGTTTATTACGAATCAACTTAACGGCCTGCTCACAGTTGGCTTGTTAGCTCAATTGGTAGAGCACTGCACTAGTATCGCAGAGGTCAGTGGTTCGAATCCCGTACAGGCCTGATTTTTTTCAGGTCTGATTTTCGCTATT